ATCTTGAAATCTTGAGTTTCTTCAATGGTTTCCTAATGAATCTCCACTTACACCTTCTCTTCTTTGCCCAAAAATCAAGTTTGCATCTCCATTCGATTGAATTCTTACAAGTTCCCTTCAATTCTCTCACAAAAACTACGAATTTTCCTCATTTAATGATAATAATTGATGAGTATTAGAGTATGATATGTATATGAAAGATGTAGGAGATGTCTCTTTAATTTATTCTATTGTGACGTATTTGCTAGGGTAAAAAATTTGTTGAAAATCACGTCCAAATTGGTTTCCAATAGAGTTTCAATCGAATAAGGAAAGTTATCTTCGCGCATGGGTTAGTATTTTTATCATAACATTTTCTCTCGTTATCCAATTGTATTGATTCAAAGTGTGTTAGAAAGCTAATTCAAAGGGCTAGCTACAATTTTCCTTGAAATAATATTTTTCTGATTTGGACGCTACTATGCCTAAAATGTGTCTCGATCTTTGACTAAAAATCTGGAAGATATCCTGTGTGATTGGAAATCAATTTATGGTGATATTCTAATCATATTCCATTCTTTTTGACTTCTAGTTGCATCCAATTGACTCATAACAATTTTAAAGTATCTATTGTGATCCAAATCAACCATTGTTGGACATTTTTTTGCCTTTTTTGCTTCTTTCTTTCAATTCCTCTTTCAATCATCGAGTTTTACCTAATAAACAAACTATACAATAAATTAGGCTATAATTCTTTAAAAGAACTATTAAATGTCTATATTTTCATGTCTAAATAAGTACACTTATCAAACACCCCAAACTTAAACATTTGTTTGTCCTAAAACAAAACCATAATCTAAATTAACAAACATACAAACACATAAAATGTTTTGGTTAGATAAACTGACATTTTACTATGTCGAAAATGGGTCATTTTTTTTATAATTCAGGTGTCTGAGCTTGGTGACTAATCATGAGAAGTGGCGACTGTCCCTCTGGTTCGCCATGTGGGTGAATTCGGATACGGTTACAATTTATACACACTTGGGCCGTACATTCGGGATGCGATTTTCTTCTCTGTAGACCTCCCACTACAACGTGTAGACAAGACCCGAATGGGTGAAAAAAGCGCACTATAACTTTGCCTCCACAGGACATCTACCTTCCAACATAAATATTACCTTCGATACTCCGTAGAGAACCATCATGCTTTACCAATGCGGGTCACTTTTTATCCATACAGAGGAGTGAAATCTAATTGAGACCTCCTATATGTCCATGGCCACATAGGCCCTAGACAGATAGGGCGCCAAGACAAGTAGTGTTTCCCAACCAAATATGATGTGGGGTAAATGGTTCAACGTTGTTCTTGAAGTGGGGTAAATGGATCGAGAACGACCATAGAGGAATGAAACCAAATTCGAAGAAGGCCTTAGATTCTTTCTTAAAATGAGGATTTCAGATTAACTGAAATGGGAAGAAAATAGTCTTTCTTGGTATAAAAATGTAGCTTAGACAGGAAGGGGTGGAATTACTGATGGTAGTGGCTTTTGGTGGTTGGAAGTGTTTATATATATATTGTATCCTAAAGGGGAGGGTAAATATATCATCTTATGTGTTTTGATCAAATTGGACAATAGGGAACTATAAGTAAATTCAAAACATTTTCTTCTTTTTTAACCATAAATTCTTGAAAAACTATTTCAAAATGCTTTTTCCCCAAAATTTGATTTTAAAGGAGTCGAAACAAGGGCTAATTCTCTCAATAGGGACCATGTCCGGAGTTCTCACAGTGAACATATGGATTAATTGGTTCTTAAATTTAGGCCGTTTGCTATACCATTTTCTGGTTCTTTCTCTAAGTATGATTGGAATCCTTCGCACTTGTGTGTGGGATAGCTCCCATAAAATTCACGTGGATGGTGTACATTGTGGTCCAAAGTTTTGTTGTATTCTTGTGAACTTTATTTTAGGATTGTGAATTTGCTAGGCTCTTCCAATGCTTTAGTCCCCTCAGGCTCAAAGGAAGGTGAGCTCTATGCTCGTCACTGTCGTCAATTTCCTCTGAATGGAGTTATTGACCCTCCTTTCCTTCAACTGAATGAAAGAAGAAGACTGATTATTTTTATTGGATTGATAGGACTCCATTTGCCTATCTTTCCACCCAGATTCTAGTGGAGCTTTCTCTTAGACCCCCTCAGGGGCCCCCAACCTACTAAAACCACTCGCAGACTTGGAAGTCCTCCACTCTTGCATTAAGAAACGCATCATTGCAGTAATATCTTCAATAAAGCATTGCACGTATTGCAGCCATTTTTGTTCAAGTTTGGGTTAAAAGGGCAACCATTTTTTGGTTCTTCGATTGCTTTTTTTGGTGTGTGCTTTCTTTCAG